ACTATTACATCTATCTTCCTTAATCTCTAGGCTCCTTCTATTCTTGTCTATCACAAGCATAAAGGCCAACAACTTAGCATTTTTTTATCAATGTTGCCTAATTTGGTCAGGATTTCAAGTTTAACCTTCCTATAACAAGTATCAACATTTCTATCCCACCCCTAACTTTTCCCTAAGTATTCCCAATATCTTTGCCATCTGTCTAGTTTAGATCCATAGTATTCATCACCTCAAATTTTGTGAAAAAATCCATAAGGCCATCCCCAAGCATCCAAGCATTCTCAAATCTGAAAATGCGTGAGCAGTGTAACGATTTTTAGAGTCCTAAAACATAAGAGTATAGTCGGAGACTTCCCTAGTGAAGGCCTGCAGAATTAGATTGGACTATCTGTGCGTTGGTCAACTTTGAAAGGGGTTACAGTCAGATCCAACGGCCATGGGTTCTTCCTCTTCCCTTCGGTAGTGTTCATCATTCTCCTCGAGCCGTAGGTGTACCCCAGCCTTCCCGTGTGCCTCTGCAAACCAAGGCAGGCAAGCGCTGCTGCGCACCCTGCCCAGGTCGCTTCCTCCAACGGGTTGTCCCTACTCCCTACGTCGACCACCCCTCTAAGAGCATCTCTAGAAGGCCCCGTATAAATCACCGTAACGCCCGTCCCGTAAAACTTTTGCGGTGGCCCGAAAACGCGCCCCCTCGACCAGTATATGTGGGGGTTCGGTTGCTGGATACGGGCCGGAACCCTATCCCTTCGCCACCAACAAAATCCCCCAATCCCTCACCGCTGGTCCCTCAGATCTGTCGCCCACTCCTCAAATCCGCCACCGGCGATGGCCAAGTCCGCCCGCCGTGCCAACAAGGACCCCGAGCGGGCGCGTCGCGTCAGATCTGAACGGGGCGCGGAAGCGTGTCGCCTTGCGGTACACATACCACGGGCGGTCGCTCCTCCGCCGCAAGGCGAAGGAGTACGACCGCGCACGCGGGCGCCTCTTCTCCAGCACCGGCAGTTCCTCCGGGGCGTCCAGCTCGCGCTCCTCTATCACTCTGGTGAAGAGGGAGCCGGAGGCTGAGGCGGGACCGGAGCAACGTGTCGGTGGCGTCGTCGGGCCGGAGGACTTCCTTCCCTCGGCGCAGGCGGACGCCATTTTGCCCGCGATGCTAGCGCGCAGCGCGTGGGAGGAGTGGCGCCGCGAGGCCGCTGAGCAGGAGCGGATCTTCTTTGACGTCACCTCCGATGACGACTCTGATTGAGCGCCACCGCTGGTCAGCTACTGCACGAGCTCCAACGAGCTCCATTTTGTCTAGTGCGAGGGTAGCGTAGCTTCGGTGAGCTTTTATGTAAATATATCTATGTTGTGTACGAACAATTTGCCCCTATATAAAGAATGATCTATGCTCCGGCGAGCTTTTGTGTTAAATTTCTCTATGCTCTGGCGAGCTTTTATGTAAATTTCTCAAAGTTTACGGTTTTGGATACAGATTCTGATCTGTCGCGGTGATTTTGAGCCTGTACAGACCCCACCGCGCGAGCTGTAAACTGCGTTTACAGTTTGACAGAATAGGGGGGCCGCTAGAGATGGTCTAAACTCCGCCCCGAACTGCAGTACCGATTACTTCCCCACACCCGAGCATTCAAGCTTCAATCGAAACCACCTTTATCTACGACGCCGCTACCACGTCGTCGTCGCCGCCCGTCTCAAGACTCGCTCTAGGCGAGACCTCTCCGGGGATACCGCGGCGTCCCGTCTCTCCCTCGGGGCTTCACTTGAAAATCGAAATAGACCGACCCGAATTTGATTTCGAGCCAACTAAGAAATACTATAGCAAAATCAGAAGTAGAAGCATGTAAAGAGAGATGTTTTGGGAGCACAACTGATGAATTAAGGTGAAATTTGCGCCAACAAGTTACTACTTTCTCTCTGTTCCTAAATATAAGTCTTTGAAAAATTCCACTATAGACCACATACGAAATAAAATGAATGAATTTACACTTAAAATGCATCTATATACTACATCTGTATGTAGTCCATAGTGGAATCTCTATAAAACCTTACATTTAGGAACGGAGGTAGTACAGCTTAATCATCATCATGCATCGTGACATCTATCCAGAAAGGTCCATGCACTAATTAACGACGTACTGCAGCCCGTGGCTTGTGGTGAGGAGCTGTGTTTTCGTGCGAGGATAGTGCCAAAAGGACTCTCTGTCCAAAACAAGTCATTTTAGACCCCGAAAGATCGATGGTGCCAAGAGAGTCGGCTGACTTTTCAATGTTCAGCTGTCCCGTCTCGGCCATAGTCTGCACTCGAGTATGCACCGGACAGTAAAACTTCTGGCGGTGTGCGCTGAGCGGCCGTCGGTATATACGTATGTAAACGTTTTGCCGCAGATACGCCTTTTGACGGCTCGGAATGGAGAGGCACGCGCCAGCGCACAAGGCCAAACCGCGAAACCGAAAAAATGGGATGGTCCATCCAGACAAGAACGACAAACACGGCGCCGATGATGTGGGCAAAACAAAGCCCTCTCTTTGTCAGGGACGGCGACCATAAATGGAGGCATGAATGAGACGAGACACGTCGCCATCTTGAAATTTGAATGGGACGCATGCATGCATGCATGCATGATGCGTCCTGAAGACCTGCAAGGCAGCGCTTGCATCTAATCTACTACTCCTCTCCCACCGGAGCGATGTCGAAGCGTGAAGGAAGATCATGGCGTCAAGGGACGAAGGGCGGGAGGCAGCGCCAGGGTGGGTGAGCTATCCATTTCACTTCACGTGCTCTCGCCTGAGCCAGGTCAGTCTGCCGGGGCCTGCACATACGTTTTGCCATGCACGGTTTTGCGGCGAGACTTGGCAGCGGCCAGCGGGCTAGGCTACGCTCTCGCCCTGACCGGTCCGGTTGCATCATGACCAATGCATCGCTGCTCCGACGTAACGTAGGCCACGTAGAGTACCTAGTGGCCCGCACGCCAAGCGATCCATCTTTTCACTCACGAATGGAGCCATCAGGTACAGTACAGCCGTACAGGCCACACGTACTACGTGAGAGAACCAAAGTTGAAACAGTCGAGTTTCCCCCGCGGCGGCGCAGGAGGCAACGGGACAACGACGCAAGGGTACGAACGAGCTCACAAAAAAGGGCATGAAAGAGCAAGGCAGCCGGGGTCAAGCTTCTCCCATCTCTACGTACGACTGGCTACGAGGAGGGCCGGAAAACACTCGCCGGAAGGACGCGACCCTTTGCATGCTCCCGTGCTGAAAACCCCGGCCAGGTCGGGCTTCCATTTGCGAGGCGCGGTGGCCTTCCAGCTTTCGATGGCCGCGTATGTACCCGGGTTGTCATGTCCGGGTGTCCTGTCGCCGTTGCGTGCACATGTGTCGCGACGCCAATAGGCACGGGTTTTTCTAGTGCCACGCTTCTAGTATTTCATTTTGTCAGAAAGCTGAACTTGTTTTACTCTTCTAGAAAAATACCAGTACAAAACATAGGCACAATTGTCATTATGAAAACACATGTACACCTTACCTTTGTTGGCATCTCTGAGAGATTCCGCCGATAAATTTTGAGATTGATGTTTGTAACCATGTATTTGTAGACAAGTTTCACATGAAATCATGCCAGAAACTGCATTTATGATTTTTTAATAAAAACATGAATGACCCATGCATCACAAAACCTTGCAGGGCTCCACTTTCTCGTGGCGGACACCTATCTTCACGATTAGTCATGCCTATGTAATTCACCTATGCAAATCGTTTGTATGATGGTTACAGCTTTGAGTAATATATTAAGGTGGGAGAACCCCCCTCTCCCCTTGGGTGATTCATGAAAAAAACATGCAGGGGTAAAATGATAGTTAGATGGTTAAGTGAGTCCATATATGTTTGGGAGAACAATGAACCAGGTTAGTAGTTTAGCAGGAAAAAAATGTATGTGTGTCTTCTGAATTTTGGCGGGGAGTCATCGGCATCTCCACATGGCTGTAGTGTAAGGAGATTGAAATGTTTCTGTAAGGAAAGAGGTTTGCGTGATAAAAGGTTAAAACCCTGCAAAAACGGTAATTAATGTAGTTCTATGGTGGCTTAGTGTTGGTCCAAGATCCCCGCTTTGAAAGAAACAAGTCACGATATTGTTTAAAAATATGACGGGACGTTTTTTCTATTTGAAACTGAGCTAATATTTTCAAGGAAAGTGATTTTCTCGATGATTTTCATGGCAAACCATACAAGTCCTTACAAACAATGAAAATCGAACTAATGATGTGCTAGTGTTTTTCCATTTGAAATGGAAATGTGTATGTGTTCCAGTATTTTGTTTTAGGTGAAAAATACAGTGAAGCTCGAAAATTCTAATAATGACCCGCTAGTGTTTGCGATTTGAAAGAAATGAGCTAATTAGTGTTGAGTGTAGCTCTCTTAATATATAGATGGATGGGGTTTGTGATCTCCTTGCATGATTTTACGTATGTTAGCCACATGCATCATGCAAAATGATAATTTTACACTTACAATAGTGCACTACAAGAGAGACCTTGCGCCGAGTACTGCAAATACTCGACCAAGGCTGAAAAGAAATCGGCAAAATCTTCTCAAGTACTCCCTCTACAGTGATCTAAACGGTCTTATATTTCTTTACAGAGGTAATACTACACTCGGCAAAACCGTACTCAACATACACCCTTTCGGTAAAGCGAGCTGGTACCCGCTCCCATATATTCTGAAAGTTTGCATTTGTTGCATACGATATATGGAAACCAACAAAAAAATACTGTATATTAATTCTCCAAAGTCTTGACATAACCACGTAGGTAGGTGTATGCCAGTATGTGTAGGCCCTCTCCCCTCCCAGAGCTCATTTAAAACCAAACTACCACGGACGGCAGCCGGATATAATGGGTGCACCGGTTTTGAAAACACCATACGCACCAAAACCTTCCTTCATCCTCGCCAGTCGTCACTTGTCCTCCTCCCGGTCAGCTCCACTCCTGAGAGGCACAACAATGGTCATCGGGAAGCTGGGCCTGAGCTCCCTCTTCCACACGAAGCCCAAGGAAGAGGCCTCGCCGTCACCTCCTCGAGGCGACCCGGCCGCGGCGCCGGCGTGGGCATGGCCGTCCTGCAAGCACCCAAGAACGCGGTCCTTCCACGACGCGCCGCCACCGCCCGGCGCGAGAACGCTCGCCTCCATCTTCCTCGACTCCGCCGAGAGCTCCTTCACCAACTCCTCCGCGCGGCGCGACTGCTCCGACAGCCCCTCCACGGCGTCCGAGGCGTCGGCGGAGGGCGGGGGCGACGCCGTCACGGCCGCCGAGGACGCCGCCGTCGTGGGGCCGCTCCGCTCCTCCGACCGGCTCCTGTTCGACCCGGGGGCGTCGGGGACCACCAGCTCCATACTGGAGGAGAAGGTGCCGGCGGAGGCGTTCGTGGGCGGCCTGGCCGTGGCGTTCGAGTCGGCGGACCCATACGGGGACTTCCGGGCGTCGATGCAGGAGATGGTGGCCGCGCACGGGGCCGGCGGCTGGGGCTGTGGCTGGGGCTGGCTGGAGGAGATGCTGGGCTGGTACCTGCGCGCCAACGGCAAGGACACGCACGGCGCCATCGTGGCCGCCTTCGTCGACGTCGTCGTCTCCGTCGCCGACCCCGGCCGCGGCTCCTCCTGCTCGTCCCGGAGCTCCTCCTGCGCGTCCGTCGACGGGGATCAGTAAACTAACCTTACTTACTTCCGTGGCATGGTTAATGTGGTGAGGGTGTGGTAGATGAGTGAGTAGATCACGTACGTCGGTACGTGCCGAACACTTGGAGAACGTGCACGAGCATGAAAGTTAATTAATTTTAACTACTAGCTTCTTCGTGGTAGCTGAAATCTCGTGCCAACATGTGATGGGTCGATGTTTGCATTGCACGTATGGCAATGGGTTCACGACGTCGTCGTTCGAGATCGAGAGTACAGTAAAAGATCTTGTAGTTGTGCAAGTGAAGGACCACCTGAGTGTACTGCTCGCTAGGAGTTAACCTGCGGTGATTACGATGGAGCTAGTATTGCTACCGTACCGCACGATGGCAGTTGGGGAGTACTGTACCAAATTTGTGCGCTAGCGTATACGCCGAGTTTGTGATGTCAAAACTCAAACGCCCAACGCGGGAATGAAAACAGAATGTTTCAAGAGAAAATAAGAAATAAGAAACATAACAAAGCAGCACGTTGCAAAAAATAAAATAAATCAGCACAGTTATGGACAGAAACACAACCATCGGCGATAATGATACAATGTACTACTGTATATCTGAACACATTTCCAATTCTCAGACGCACGAAGAAACAGTCAATTTCCCAAGACGCGCCGCATCAAGGAGGCCATGACACACCCGACAAAACTAATCGGCTGATAAAAAAAATCAGGTGACTGATATACAGTTGCTTCCATATATGATACTCCCTCCGTCCGGAAATACTTGTCATAAAAATGGATAAAAGGGGATGTATCTAGAGTTCTAGACGTATTTTAGTTTTAGATACATTTATTTTTATCCATTTTGATGACAAGTATTTTCGGACGGTGAGAGTACAAATTACCATTACAAACTAATCGTATTTTATTCGGAGGTGGAACAGAAGTTCCATGCTCTACAGCATATACTTGGATTAGGTAGAACAAAAAGTTCATGCTCAAGACATAAATGTTGGTTGTTACAAAACCACACCAAAATAGAAATATAAAATTCGTCACTACAATTGAGACCAAACATTAGATAAAAAAGTGAAAGTGAACATGGTACAGGAAAAGTGAAAGATAATGTTCACTATTTGGGACAAAGTAAACTAGAGAAAAAGAGAAAGTTTGTCCAGAGAAGTTTATGCATATTTAAAATATAGAAAACGAAAACGAAATGGCATGGAAAATTGGATACAAAATCAATAGGTTAATTCTTCATGTAACAATACTGGAAAAAAAAAAGGAGGAACATGCTAACATATCAATGAAAGAACAGAGGAAAAAACATAGATGGATGAATACAAAGAAAGAGGGAAATAAAAAATCATATATTATTTTTCTTTTGAAAAAAATCAAGAATTTTTGTAGTAGATAAAAACAAGATGGCCAATGTGATTCTTTTGGCAACTAATATGAAATACAACCGTTGGCTCTTAAATGTCCATGGGAGGTATGTCTCACTTTTTTTAGACAAGCTATATCCCGCTTACAGTGAAACGTAGCTCCGGCACGCCCCTACGTTGAAGCTACTGGGCCAGCCCAGTACTGTAGCTGCGGCTTGAGTTTTTTCTCTGTGCTTTCATTATTGGTTTTTTTCACTGTTTGAAGCTCTTTCCTTCTGTTATCTCTATTTTATGTTTTTATTTTTTCGTCAGTTTTCACCGGTTACCTTTGGGTTTCTTTCAACACATATCTATAAATTTTCTACACCAGGATTATTTTTTTACATGTTTAGCATTTTTCAAATACATGATTAATATTTTTTCAAATTTATGATTTGATTTTTAATTTATTCATAGACGTGATTCATTTTGTATGCATATAAATCATATTTTATACACGTTAAACATTTTTATCAAATCAACTTTTTGATAGTTTTCAGGAATACTTGTTAAGAATATTTAAATACTCATTTCAACAATTATTTCCATGATACCGACAATCTTGTAAACTATGCGAACGTTTCTTTTACATTGTGTGAACATGTTATGATTTTTACCAACATTTGTTCGATGCGGCTAACATTTTTCTAATTACACTAGGCAACATTTTACAATGCGGTAATTGTTTTCTAATTCACGGGGAATATTTTCTAAAAACTTAAGTTCATGAATCTTTGAGGAATATATGTATTTATAATTCCAAAATATACATAAAATGAATAAAAAGAACAAAAACGGATGTCCTTGGTCCTGCTTGTTTATGGGCCGGCCCATTTACGGCTTCCTTGAGGTTAGATGATCTTGTGGCTCGTTTCCGGCTGGCCAAACTAGCCCTATAAGCCCCTAAATACATTCCTGCCGGGGCCGTGATTATTCGATGATCCAACTTTAGAGCTTGCTTGCGGCATTTCCTAAACGGCGCCTTAAGCGCCCGGCTCTTTGAACCCCGCAAACGGGGCGCACACCCTCCCATCCACGCCGTGCCGGACCATCTTATTCTTTTTTTTTCTTTTTCTATAAGACCTTTCAAAAATTGAGCACCATGAAGATTCGAACACCGCACCCCACAGGCTATGTACAACCATGGTAACCACCCGGGAAAACTTTCCCTCTGTGCTTGTTTTCTTGTTTCAAAGAATAGAAAATTTTCAATATCGATGAATGTTTTTCAATTTGTGAACTTTTTTTTAAGTCAATGATTTGGTTAAAGCAATTTCAAACAGACAGATTTTTAATACTACTAGAAAAACCGTTCTTGCTTTTCTCTCTGGACCAATAGATTTCTACATAACAAGCGAAAAAAGGGTGAGCTGTGCCGCTGTGCGAACGAACAAACGACAGGTGTCAGTCGTGCGAGGGAAGTCCTGCGAGGGAGGTACGAACTTGGCGATTCATAAGGGATCTGGCTTGACTGCTCCTTCCTCATGCTCCCATCCGTGCTTCCACTTCATCCTACATCTGTATTTTTTTTCTAATCTAATCATCTTCCCCCTGATTTGAAGGGAATGAGGCCGGACCTTATTTTGTTTCAATCAAATCAAGTCATGTACGCAGGAGCACGGATGAGCACACGCGTAGGAACTAGGCAAGTCTCGTCCATTCATAGGCCGGCCTATGCCTGCACGCCCCGGTGCGTTGTACTCCCTTTATTCAGAAATACTTATCATCAAAATGGATAAAAGAGGATGTATCTAGACGTATTTTAGATCTAAATATATCTTTTTTATCCATTTTGATGACAAGTATTTTCAGACGAAGGGACCGGTTAGGAGCTCCCATTGCTCGCGCTGGCAAACCGTGGGCCTGAGCATGCAGCGCGCAGACCATCAACGGCAAGCCTTTTCAATTCAGTATGTACGAGTTCGAAAAAGAATCACTACACATTAAAAAAAAGAATCAGTACTTATGCATGTCGTCCGAAAACTATTGAAAAATGGGGAAGAAAGGAGAACGAACGTAGCATCGTTAGATTTTATTAAAAATTGCGGGGTGTTTCATCTTGAGATTTACAACAGCGAGGAGTTGCTTACAGTTTGCCTCCGTTTAAACCAGAAACACTGAAACAGTGAGTAAGGAAAATGTTTCTAAGTAACATACGGGCAGTACATGGAAATCACTAATCAGTAAGTATATATTCATAACGCATAAGAGGAAAACGGGTCAACCTGACAGCAATCAGCAAAATTTCCCTAGTTGCAAACGGACGAAAGTCTCTACATCAGCACTTGCAAACAGTACATGTTGATGCTCATGCATGACTCTGTCAGGCCAATTAAATCACAGAACAACTCCACCCCGTGAACGAGACCATACCATTAGTGCACCCTGCTGCGTTCTTCAGTAAGGACAAGAAGAAACCCACAGCCACAGGAAAAAAAAAACTGGACGGCGACGAGCCGCGGCCCATTAGGTCATTAAGATGCTCTCGGCGCGTGCCCTAGCCGTCACAGGATATGCCCGATTGGGATCAGCGCAGCGGGAAGTCTCCTCAACGGCACGGGTTACTCACTCGCCCCACAGTCACCCGGCGTGGTGGGCGGCGGCGGCCGGCGTACGCGCGCGTGTTGCCCGCCGCCCACTCCGGCGTCTCGTGGTCACGCGATTCGTAGCGTACGGCCGGGCCTCTCCCCGTGACCCCCCCGGCGTTAAGACCTTGTCAGCATTGATGGACGTGTTGCCTCCCCGCGCCGCTGCCCTGCCCCGTCGCGGCTGGACCGGACAAGGACGCCGCAGCGGGGAAAGAAAACCTTCCGGCTACGGCGGGATCCGGTGGGGCGCGCTCGCTCGGCGGCTTGCGCCGCCCACACTGACCGCTGTCAGGGTCCCGGACGACCGCCTGAGAGGAGCCGCCAGCCGGCCCGCCGGCCGGCCGACCGACCGGGCTGGCTCGCTTGCTGGCGGATGCGGACGAGGCGGCCTAGCAAGTTGCCATTCATTCATTCGCGGCCCAGCCTTGTCCCGTGATGGGGCGTACGCGTGCATGCATGCATGCATGGGCTCCACCGCCCGCTTGCGTGCTTCTTAACTTGGCCGCTGGTAAATCGTCGCCTGAGCTACGGCCCTACGTGTACGTGCACTTACTGGTAGTACATGTTACAAAGTGTACGCACGTTCGGTTCTGTACTGCACGTACGCGGACTTTTAGACCTGGCGTACTGATATAGTACGGGGAAGATATTTGTATTGTACGCGCGCACATGTCGTGTCACGTCATGTCGTTCGCACGCACAAAGTTCAAGGCGGGCTGTTATACGACTACTATCACAAGGTTATGAACTTGACAGCGTAAATTTTCTGAAACATGGCAGGACGACAATGTTTCGTGTGGCGTAATGAACAATCTAATTTCCTCCGTGTCGCCTTGTCCTTGCTAAAAAAGAAAGCCCTCTGTTTTGAGTATACCTCAAGCATGCAAGAGTGGAAATAGTAGTATTTCGGCGGGTTCGTTTCATTTGTACTAAATAATAATAAAGTACGGATTGACTCCGTGGGTTCACCGTTACAATACGCTTCTTCCCGTGAATTTACACTTTCAGTTTTTTTCACCTA